GAGGTAATCCATACGGCATTTATTCGAGCTGAATGTCAAACAGTAGACTCGATCGACGTGGATGTGATGAGAGGGGGATCCGGGCAATATGGTCCCGGACAAAATGGTCCCGGACATTATGGTCCTGGACAAAATGGTCCTGGACAATATGGTCCCGGACATTATGGTCCTCGACAATATGGTCCCGGACATTATGGTCCCAGACAAAATGGTCTCGGACAATATGATCCCAGACATTATGGTCCCGCACAAGATGGTCCCGGACATTATGGTCCCGGACAAAATGGTCCCGGACAATATGGTCCCGGACTTTATGGTCCTGGACAAAATGGTCCCGAGTGATAGGCCGGACAAAATGGTCCCAAGTCATTTTCGTGTCAAGTCATTTTCGCGGAGTGTCACTTGGCAACAAACTTAGTCGCGCCATCTATTCGGTCGGGTAGCCGTGGCTCGCTTCCGATGCGCGTATGTTCCCTTTATGTCAAGGGCATCGTGCCTTTATCATAGGCGCGATATAATAATGACAAATTTATTATAAAGGTTGGGTGTTTTTTGTATCTACCAAACTACCGATAAACCCCGAAAAGTAACACCCGAGTCTGTTTAACCGAAGTTAGGGAAAATCGGAAACCCCTGAAAAAAGCTCACCCAAGAAAATACCGAGCTTCACGGGAAGAAATCTTTATATGCAGCTATATACAGCTAAGAAAACACGCCCGTGCCCGGTTTTCTTTAACATATATGCCCTAAGCGCCAAGCTTTTTTTCTGACATCAAAAAATTGCGCCAAAAAATCCCAAACCTCTAAGGACAAAATTAAATTAAAAAAAAACACGTAAAAAAAAAAATGACGACACTGAATTGCAGTTATAAGCGAGTAGCTCTGAAAGATCGATTGTATATTTTATCTCGCCAATACAGAAAAACCTGCACTTTAGTTCGGGGCAAGCGTTTATAAAGATACACGGAAGAAAACAAAATTAAAAGAAAAATAAACCTAAATGGGGCACATATTTTTTTTTCTTTTTGTACACGAAAAAAAATAAAAAGAGATAGCTTCATATTTACGCCTTTAAGCCTGATTTAAGCCCATTCACATGGTGCGATTTTGCTGGCGACTTGGCAGCTGCGAGGTCTCTCGTGCGGAAGAAAAATCGTGGTGGAGGCTGCAGGCCTCGACGCCGCAGCTCCGAAATCGCAAGCAAACTCGCCCCATGTGAATCGGGGTTTCGTCCTAATTTAGGTAGAAGTCTAGGCCTTCGCCCAGAGCTAGCTACGCTCCGTCTCTCGGTTCTCATTGGTTGAAGTGATGACTGACGTGTGGAATATTTCTTGTAAAATTGTTTCTCTCTGCCGTGGTAGTATTTTATTCTACATATTCTGTTATGTTTGAGATACACACATTACAGATAGAGTCATTCGTGTATTAAAAACAACCCCGAGATCGCCTTTCCCGCTTCGGTTTCAAACGCTAACAAACATGGCTACAGGCGTTTGCGTAACTCGTGGAGTTTCTCTATTTCTTTTTTTGGTAGGAGTTGTTTTGCGTTCACCGAGATGTCCAGAGGAAGATCTGAACCGGCGTAGTTTGCAGCAAACAGCTGTAGCAAGTGCACACCTGGGGAGACGTTGTGCATGGAGCTTGTTTTTGTAGCGGGACTGGCGCATAGGTAAGCATCGCGTGTCAATTATTATGCTCGATCTTGCTTGATTTGTTCATTTGCGCGTATTGATGCTGAAAAAAAATGTCGGTTCCCCTAAAAGAGTACCCGCAAACCCTCAGAATCTCGTAACCATCATGACTGCGACCCTGGTTTCACTACTTTAGACAGGAAAGAATTTGCGAGCCTTTTGGTTGGAAACAGTCGGGCGTTCGCCTCATAGCAGGTTTTTCCAGGCATTTTTCCATCATTTCTCTTCGAAAGGTTTGCAGCTCTGAAGCTTTGAACAGTTTACCTGCCTTCCTAGAGGGAATATTTTCGGTCGCGTTTTAATTGTGCGTCATGACGCTCACCCGCATTGCTCAAGGACGCTATGTAAGAACACAGCAAGAACAGAAAAGCTGAAAAGACTGCACACACACACACACACACACAAACACACACACACACACACACATATATATATATATATATATATATATATATATATATTCTTTTGGTTACTTTTTACATCGATAGACGCTGAGAGACGCTTGTATTGGACCGTGGCTCGTGCATGATGGAACGCGAGAACACCAATTTCATGGTCGCGTCTAACGGGCGTTGCATATGATAGTTGTTTGTGTTCTAATAGCAAACGGTGCCGTACGCTGCCGAGCGTCTGCCCGTACGAGTAGCAGACGTTGTCAGACGGCAGACTAGACGCTGTGGACGTCGCGACAGGGAACGTGTTCCGCCGAGCATCGGAGCTAATCCAGCAATAATGGGCGGGGCCACAGTTCTGTGGTCCCGCTTTCACTTTACGTGGAGCTCACGTTAAGTTCACTTCACGTGAACTCCACGTAAAACTCGCCTAGCGTCGTAAATATTGTGCTTTATAAAAATACCTGTCCTATCTAAACCCCTGAACTTTTCATTTTTCATTTAGTTTTTTTAAAGGGTTATTTCGACACAGGCGCTAACACCTTTCAACTCACACGAGGAGCAAGTGCCTCCGGAGAAAATGACCTCATTGCCATCTTTAACAAGTAAACTTCTAGTGTATTCGTGGGCTGACACGTGCGGCGGAAATACGAACAAGCATACGTGCCGCTTTCCAGACGTCTAGCAGCATCGTTTGTTCATTCTTCATACCTAATACGCGGCGATTTAGAAATTGTTGTAAGACCTTGCCCTCGCTTCAAGAACAAGAGCGCTGAAATTTAAAAATAACAGGCTAGATCTAGCTACAGGATTGGACAAGCATACTGCGGTAGAACCGTACAGAAGATATGAACCGAATTATAGACAACGCCATAACCGTAACACAATTTTAGAGTTAAAATCAGCTTTTAAGTCCTCCAGCACCTCCTGAGAACGTACACGGCGTACGTCCTGACTTAGTCTGATTTTTCCAAACTGCCCAGCACGAGTCATCTCGCCTGCAGCGTCGTCGTCGTCATCATCATCGTCGGGTTCAGAAGACCGCAGCAACATCAAGAGAGACACGGAGGGATTATAACATTTTTATAGTCTCTCATATCGAAAAAAAAATATTGGGAAGTTGGAATCTCCCGCCTTGTTAGATATAGATTCCGGGGAAGTCACTGGAGCAGTAAGAGATCGGCTATAAGGCGCTCCCGTCGTAAAGGAAGCGACAAAGCACGGCGAGACGTACTTGGACCCGGTATTTGTCTTTTCCGCTGCAATGTCTACCAGGACCCGGGCTTTGACATGGCCGTAAAAGAGAGTTGGCTCGCAGTAAACCCTCTTCGGTCGGGAAACTTTTAAGAGCCGATATACGTGGCGGGCAGTAAACAGAGCGAAGCCCAAGTGCGACCGGAGATATGTGGAGCTGCCACACGAATGGTCAACGAAGCCCGGTCAAGAAACCAAATGCACTCGGAAAAGCGACAATCGAAGATATGCGTAAGCTACATACACACATCTGGATGCAGTTGACGTGAAATTTAACATTGAATGTGAAATAATGTCTTTTAGCAGCTTTTTTATTTGCTTGTTTTTGCGTCGTACACAGTACTAATTTCCAATAGAGATATCAACAAAATAAATAAATTACGACAGATAAGCTATTCAGTGATTCTCGGAAAGGGGAAAAGAGATCTGCCTATCACGCACTGGGTGAAAAGAAAACAACAAAAAACTCAACAATTTGCGCAATGTAAAAAAAAAAAAAAAGATTTTTGTCGATGTAGTTGTTGAGTAATTCATTAAACATTCAGGCAGGGAATGCATTGGTAATCATAACATGTTTTTTTTTTTATGATTGGAAGGTGTCGAAGCTTATGGTATTCAGCAACCGAAAACATTTTTCATAATCCAGTTTGCCCACTATCGAAGCATATATTGCTGCTAATGAAAAGCACTCAAAAGAACGCCAAATGGACTTTCGAAATGATTGGGAAACAGGAATTCTCCTAGTGGGTGATAATGTGAATAGCTTTCTTTCTTTTGCTTTCCAATATGTTGAAAGGGCACTCGTCTGGATAACCAAATTTCGTATATCACGCTCTTCCTCTCTTTCTTTCTGTTTTTCTTCTCTTCTTTTCTCAGCTGGTTCGTCAGAAACTCGAGAATGAAGCGATATCTGTCCATATCGATGAGATGTGCTAATGTGTGCGAGATACAGCACAGATATAGATCAATGTCGCCTTAGGTGGAACGTACCATTTTCTGTTCCTGCCATTAATGTTTTTATAGTGGAACAAACGCCAGCACCGTTGAAAGTCATCGTACTACTCTAGACTAGGATAGGACCTTGGTGTGGAAGTGACGAGTATCGTCATTGGAAGTAATTATGGGCATTCGGAAATGGAGCACTGTGGCATTATTTTGTCAACTTAAAACCTACGTTTTTCATGGCCAACGATCCGAAAAAAGAAGTCGGTTAAAACTTAAAAGTCATGTTTTCACGTATCTCAAAGAATTAGGGAGGCGATGTGCGCTAGTTGGTTCACGATGACAAAAAGGCAAACAGTGCAAAAAAAAAAAAAAAACACGAACAAAATAAAAAAAAAGCGCACAAAGTACAAGCGCTGTGTGCACTCTTACTCTCCTTCTGTTGCTTGCGCATTGTTTGCCCTTTTGTCTCCAGTAACAAATTCGGTTGAAAGTCGTTTTCAGGTATCTTCAACATAGAATTTGGTTGCAAGTCATGTTTTCATGCATCTTCACTAAAGAATTTGGTTGAAAATCATGTTTTCATGAGTCTTCAATAAAAATTCGGTTAAAACTTTGTCCTCGTTTTCATTTCTTTTTTTCGCGTTTTACTTCCAAGTTGAGCGGAGAGGCTGCTACGGAACGGAGAAGCGGACGTGGTGTGGGGGCACAGCGTCATTACCTTTGGCCCATCGGACGTTGTGGGCGGGCAGCGGATCCGGGCCGAGACAGAGGAGGACCAGGAGGCAGGCTGCCTGGCTCAGCCGCATCGGGCCCCGGGTCTCCTCGGCTGGCAGGGCCGCAGGGCTGGTCCTCCGCTACGCCCGGCCTGCACCACGACCCACAAGCAAGGGCTTCACGGGAGGCTTCGACCGCGGGCCACAAGTTCCAACATTTCGCGAAGTATACGCGAGGTGTGGAGTTACGGAATATTTTCCGGGGCACAAAATTTCGCGATTTGGAGTACTATATGTTACGTACACACGCAAAATATATTCGAGGAAAAAAAATGGCGATATTTGCGCATATGTAAGAAGCAAACATCGTGCTTCGAACGTGCCCGAGGCGTGTGCGCGGGTAATTCGTTTATCGTGTTTGCATCGAACACCCTGACATTTGTATGATGGATGAGCAGTGGAGCTGCCGCTTTACAGTACTCGGGTAAGGAGAAGCGTGATGACGAAGACGGGAGTTTGGGCGAAGAGACGAGGAAGGGAGGCGAGCGGCGGCGCGGCAACTGCGTCCGCTCTAGTGGTGTAGAACTGTCGATAGTATCGATAGTTGCCAGAAATCTGGCTACCGATGGTAAAAAAACTATCGATAATGTCCCAGAACTATCGATAGTCGACTATCGAAAAACTATCGATAGTACTATCGATAGAACTATCAATAGTCGACTATCGAAAAGCTATGGAGAGTACTATCAATAGTCAACTATCGATAGTACCATCGGTAGTCGCCTATCGTAAACCTATCAATAGTACTGTCACCGGTTTAATATCGATAGTTTTGCGACATTTGTAGTTTGCGTCGCTCCCTCTTCTCTTTTTCTCGCTTTATTTATTTTTTTCTTTTTAAATGGGATACCCAACTAGCCCAAGCACTTACCATCCCAACTTTGGTTCAGCTTTCAGAAATGACGAAGACGCGAGTTTGGGCGAAGAGAGGAGGAAGGGTGGCGAGGGGCGGTGCGGCAACTGTGTTCGCTCTAGTAGTGCAAAACTATCGAGAGTACTATCGAGAGTATAGATTGTCGCCAGAAATTTGACTACCGATAGTAAAAAAAGCTCTCGATAATGTCGCACAACTATCGATAGTCGACTATCGAAACACTATTGATAGTACTATCGATAGTCGACTATCGAAAAACGTTCGCTAGTACTATCGATAGTCGACTATCGATAGTTCTGGAAAAACTATCGACAGTATTGATAGTCAATTTATCGATAGTTTTCCATCACTAACCACCTCACGCTTTTGTCTCGCCATCGTCGTCGTTCGCGGGTATAACGAAAGGTTGAACAGAAATTTGGCAAACGCCGCTCGCCTATTAAATACAAAGTAGTGGTGAGTACAGTAATATTCCGTGCGCTAATAATCTTCACTCTTTCATACTGTCACGTTTTTTTTAGGCAACTATCGTGGGTACGTGAATAATTATTTGCGAGCGCAGACACCGTCAGCGGTCTCAACCGGCATGCGGCTGCTCGAGTGGACCGCGCTAAGCCGAAATCAATAAGACTCGACTCTAAACCTGGTCGCAGCCTTGATGCCGCATCTTCTCCCAGCCACCAATCAGCGAAGAACAGCCTGCAGCAGATGATGTGCGAGAGAGGAGTGCCGTACTCTGAAGTAATTCTTAAAAATAATAACCCATTATTTTGTTTAACTCAAAACCTATACGTCTTTCCCGTCACCAGCGAACCGAACAACTCTTCGTCCCCATCGGTACAAAATCCCAATACCAAAACTAACAATACACAAGTATTATTATATGCCCAGCAATATAGGTAGTTTAAAATATTAACAGTGATAATCCATAACTTATTCGCAGCTCATGTAGGGCCGGCTACTGATACGATAAAATAGGGTGGTCTACCCAATTCATGGCGTAGAGTACATGTAATAATCTAGGGAAAAATGAAAGACATTTACAATCCCCTGTAACGCCGAATTAGAGCACAGCTCTTGAGGAGGAGGAGGAGAAGGTATGGAGAGGGGGCAATGCCCTTCCTTCTCTCCAGCTCGCCTCCCGTTTAGGGGAAAATTTTCCGCTAAATTTGGCGGAGAGTTTTTCCCGCTAAATTTAGCGGGGAAAGTTTTCCGCTAAATTTTGCGGGGAAGTTTTTCCGCTACATTTAGCGGGGAATTTTTTCCGCTTAATTTAGTGGGGAAATTTCTTCCGGTAAATTTGACGGGGAAACTTTTCCGCTAAATTTGGCGGGGAACTTATTCCGCTAAATTTAGCGGTGAAATTTGTCCGATAAATTTAGCGGGAAAATTTTTCCGATAAATATAGCGGGGAAAATTTTCCGACAAATTTAGCGGGAAAATTTTACGCTAAATTTAGCGGGAAAATTTGTCCGCTAAATTTAGCGGGGAAATTTTTATGCTATATTTATCTGGGAAAATCTTTCCGATAAATTTAGCGGGGAAATTTACTCATAATGCACTGCGCGGTTACGCCGACGGCGACGGCTTCGCGCATTGTATAAACAGAAATAAAGTTGCTAAGTAGTCTAACAACTTCAACCCGTTGTGACCAAACGAACACTCGCATGCTTTCTTCCCCCGCTTTTATGACGCTTTCTTTTCCGCTCTCTCTCTCTCTTTCTCTCACTCTAAAACTGACGTCAGTGCTCGGGATTTGTCGCGCTCTGCTCTTTTTTCTTCCTTCTTCCCCACCCTGATTTACAATTGCTATTAACTCACCTCAACACATATTTCTGTTTGTTTTTTATCAGTCTTTAAACGAACTCATTTTTTTCCCCATACCATCAACCAAACATGGCTAATAACAATTTCTTGGTTCTCTAAAAAGCGACAAATTTCAACAAACATTTAGGTGGAGTTTTACGTGGCAGGGCGGATGTTAATAAAATTTCGACTGTGCCTTATCTGTGTTCAAAGTTCATGCGCACAAATAAAAGGTCTCATGCAGATTTCTGCATGTTCCCTTTCTTTGTGGTAATCAAGTCTACATGCACTGTAATTCTAAACTGTTGACGGGATATCTGTAGCCTGTAATTCTTAAACGGTAATAATATAATCAAACTGATCGCGTGGAATAAAAATATGACTCGTAAATTTCTATTGCAATACCTGAGTATAGAAAGGAGCTCGTTTAGTTCATTTATGTCTGTTTCTAGGAAACGCGCTCTCTGGATTCCACCAACGTCGTGCCAAGTGCTCCGTCCGTCTTCCCACTCTTTTCGTTGCACAACTCTACAATTTTCCTAAATTTGCTTTAACTTACGTCGCACAGAACGCTATTCGGATTTTTAAATTTCGCATAGCGAACTTTGTTACGACGTTGCGCTTTGATCACCGACTTTGTTTCGCAAAACCACAGCACGCACATTGCTTTCTCTTCAACAGCCGCGATTTTGAAATAAAAGGTAATATTTTATCCGACGCATCATTGTGGCGAGTGCGGCGTTACTAAATAAAACGTACATGGAATTACATTTTCATACTTCGTAAGCATTTTTTCCCCCGCTTTTGGTTTAAAGGTATACAGGCACAGCTGCTCTATCACTGTTACTTCGCGAAGCCTGCCGCTTCAGAGGGAGATGCATGCAAACAATGAATTGGCTGAGTTTCCCGAGTTCGTCACTGGAGGCGCGACCAAGCGGACACGAGAAATGCTTTGGCGTTGTTCCTGTCTCGCACCGCTCCCGCTCGTGGGCCTCCAGTTACCGTGGTTAGAGTTCCTGTATAGGCTCCCAACGGGAATAATGATTGGGGTTGTGTGGATATTTAGACAGCGTGTAGTTGGTCAGCCATTTCAAAGTTGCGACGAGTCACTCGCTGTAGAAGAGCAATTTGGCCAGTGCAGTAAAACCACGCAGTAGTGATACACGACCGCACGCCGGTACGATGCTCATCCAGATCGCAACGGGCAGGGGTGGGGATTGAACCCAGAATGCCAAAACTCCGCATTCGATCTCCCAAACAAAATCAGGTTGCATCGCTGCATTACATATGGCCGGAAGATGGGCCGACGAAAGAAGTCCCACAGTGGACCCGGAACGCCTTCGGAATCGCATTCTCCTTGCGTCAACTGCCCCTTAGAGCTCACCGATTTCGGTCATTTTTCTCGTCCAGCGTATGCCGAGATGTCGAGGGGGGGAGGGGGGGGGGGGGGATTTCGTTCTGAGTGGAGGTCCGGATCGCGGTCTAGATCGAGGCGAGCCAACTACTCCAAAAAATCGGCGGAGCGTACCGAAAGTGGGTCCCAGATTTGTATCGGCGTCCCACACCACAGCCATGTGACAGCGTGTTGACGCCGAGACGTCCGAGGAGCTCTTGAAGCTGCACTCCAACGAGTATCACAAAACAACGGACTGACACGGTAAGGAGAGGTTTCAGAGCGGTCGTTCGGGATCTGAGCTTTCAGACACGCCCAGAGGCTCTAGGTCATTCTCTCTCTCTCTCACACACACACACACAGACACACACACACACACACACACACACACGCGCGCGCGCGCGCGCACGCACGCAGCACACATGCACACCAACATACACACGCGCACGCACACACACACACGCACTCACGCAGGCGCACGCACACACACAAACACATACGCACAAAGAAAGAAAGAAATAAAGCGGCGCCATTTGTCGGAAAGCTGCTGTCTCGAACTGCGTTTCGTTTTCGTGAGAGCCATTCGCACTTCCTGTTCCGATCTTCGATCCGTTTGCAATCCAGAGTGAGTGCGGGATGGGCCGGTCTTGCGACGTGTCTCGTTTAGATTTTACGAAGTTCTCGCGTGATGTTCTTTCGCTGCATTAGTGCTAGCCGCAGCCTGCAGAGGCAGTAGAACTCTACGGACGTATCCTCTAAGACCAACGCGATGGAAGATTACGAAAGTAACATCATGCGGAAAAGAAACAGAACAGATGGCAAATCATTTTATGGAACGATGTGTTGGCAACGCTAATTTCTGTATCAACTGTTAGCAAGTGACGCTCGGCTCCTCCCGAATCAAACATGCGGCAAAGAAGTTTGTCAGATTTCAATTTCTGCTCGAAAGAAAAGCAGAAATTTTCATAAATTCTTAAATTGTCAACAATGGCCCGGCAAATTCAGGCGATTCATTAATT